AGCTCGGCGACTAATAAAAACAAAGTCAAACGATTTGGCAAGGTTATTATTTCTTGCACAAAGATATGTGTTAACACATACAAACGTACACACACACTAGCCAAGACAGACAGCCATTAGTGGCCTTCATGTTGGCCTGCTCGTAAATTGATTTTGATGAACTTATTTTCCCATTTGATGTCTGTCGATTTTTGATTGTCGTTTGTTTACGTTTGAGCTCGCTTAGCTATCGCAATACTCGTAAACAGACCCGAATCGCCTGCACAACTAGTAAACCAAATGCTTATACTGGGTACGCGAAGTGAAAAGAGTATATTGGTTTTGTGTAATGTCCGTCTGTTCTTCTCTCCGTATAGATATTTTTTTTTTGCGATGCATTTTAAAGCTGCAGTGATTAATTCGTGCAACAATTCAAAGTTACCTATTTTGACAGATTCTTTAATTTTTGAGCCAAAGATATTGCGGCCACGCCGACACCCGAAAGTTACAGTTTGTAAATCAATTTTTTGTCTGGTTACACTCAAAGATTCACCAATAATCACCAATCCATTATAAGGTTAGGGTTTCGACTATATATCTGAGCTCATAAGCTCATACTAAATAAGTTAACCATATATTTCGTGTGTTACAGAATATTTGCCTTTATGTGTGTACCTTCCTTCATTCCTCACAAAATGATGCCAATTTTAGATGCCATAATCATGTCCTAGCTAATTCACAAAGATGCGACTGGAAATACCGATATGATCAGGAATGTATTTCCGAAGAGTGGGGTAAAGGAAGAGGACAGCCGAAGTTGTTGTGGTTGTGTATGGTTGGTTGAAGAATGTTCCAATGTTCCAGGGTATTTTGCAGTCAGGCACTCTCGACAAAATTACTCGTACGACTTAAGACTATAGCCACAAAGGATCGACTTTTAAACTTTGACTAAAAAGTATTGCTTCTTAAAGGTAAGGCACAGGTGTGGTCAATTGGATCTCAATCTTTAAAGGAGGTCGTGAGTAATCTACAAGCCAAATTTGTCTACTTTAGTCTAAAAACTGTGGTAGAGACCGTTTGCAGTTTTCGCTCTACCCAATAACTTAGCATTGTTTGTACAAGTTCCAAGTCTTTAACTTCAAAAGCGGAAAAACACTACGTTGTATGTAAGTACATCTGCAATGCCAAGTGTTGATGTCGTTGCTGATTGCTCAAAACGACTTGGCGTTGCTTTTTCCACTTCCGCATTGGACAGCGAAAAGGTTAGGAACAGGAACTTAAAAAGTTTGTTCGTTTCCCGTAAGCTTCGATAATAGTGCTTTTTAAATCAATTTGGGGCTGCTGATCACGAAAACAGCTTATATTTCTGATGCAAAGCATTTTTATCAGCCATGCGGTGTAAAAGTGGATGAGTATAAATTTTAGAAAATTATCGAACATGAAACGCAAGTAAATTTCAAAACTTTATTTCTTTCGGCTACGCACATTTATTTACACTCTTTGAGAACTGTCGGAATGAAGCAGAGCAAACGTACAAGCAAAGTGTTAAAAGGTCTGTAGGGCTAAGTGATTACTGCTGGATGAAGTTTCAGGTTGATTGAACGCGAAATAAACGCAGCAAAAGTAAGTGAACTCTAGTCGGGGCGACCTGGAAAAACCCAGCTTTTAGCTCTGAATTGCCGTTAACAACAATAATGTCTGTACGTTAGTACGATAGCGCGAAAGTTGTACATTTGTCTGCATGTGCAACAGGAGACCCTTTACGGAAGGAATAGAATTTTTAAATTTGGCGTATTTCCCTACAGACTTATTACTACCGTATTCAATTATGTACAGTGGGCCGACGTCAACAGCCAACAATCCTTTCGGTACCAAATGAAATGCATGCTGTCAGATCCTTAAACATGAGATTGAAGCCGATCGGCAAGTCAGCAGTAGTTGTCTGATATTAAAAAGCTTGACAGAAGCATATTATTATACTATGTTGGTTTTGTGATAACGTTGCTTGATTTTCCCCATAGTTGCGAATCGCATAGAGAAGTAGACAGCCAGTTGCGGGTGTTTCTCCTACAGACTTAGACTGGTTTTAAGGTCGTTGATTTTTGCAAATCTAATAATCACTTCAGAGCCCTTGACACTCAATTCAATAGCCAAAACGTGTTAAGTGAGTTTCAAAGGCGTAAGAAGTCTACATCTCGTAACATTTTTTTGCTACTCTTTTAGCTACAAAGTCTGAAGTGGACACGAATTCGGATGCCGTGACCGCTGTGTGACCGCTGTCCGCTGTCATTATAGGTCCTTCAGTGGAGCATCTACATTAAAATTAATTGCCACTAGACAATTTATCGTCTGGACAATTCATATCTGTTATGCATATGCAGGCGAAAAATCAAGCCGCGAGTACAACAAAAGTTAAAATTTGCCTATTCGATTTATTATATCCTTCGAAATAAGTGTTTGACCAAAATAATCAGAAGTATTTGTTGTAAAGAGTTCTGGCCGAGACACTTAGTAGTAAAAAAAGATAAGCCCAAAAAGAAAAATAGAGCTCAAATTTTATTATGCTATTATTATTATGTGGCGCCCCAGAATTAGCTGCAGCAGTAAAAAATCAGCTTCATCTCTTGTTTATTAAAATTCACGTTTGATTTCGATATAATCGCTTTGTCATTGAGCCTCCTATCTTGGAGATTGATTTTTTGGGTCTAAAAGTGTCATTTGTTAATTTTTGTGGTGTTCATACAAGTTATCTTTCCGCTCTTAAATCAATCACCCTCTTGCTTTTTGTTGATGGCTCCTTCATTGGATTGGGTGATATTAATCTTCCTGATATTGCTTGGTCTTTAACAATTGATTTTACCTTGTTATTGATTTTTATGCCACTCGTTTGGTTCTGATAACAGGTCCTGTTAAACACATAAGGATCTCTATAACTGAGTTTAGGCCCAATCGGATGGTAAGCAAAACTGTTTCGTGCAACCGTTTTCTGCGATTTTTCCACACGGCCATCAGAGGAACATGCCTTGATCAACTCGGTTATTAATGCTTATCAATCTCCTATATATACATATATACTTTATGTGATCAGAAACACTTTTTATACCCTGAACCCATCAAAAATGGGTATAAGGATATATTGTATTTGTGCAAAATCCAAATGTATGTAACAGGCAGAAGGAAGCTTCTCCGACCCCATAAAGTGTATATATTCTTGATCAGCATCAATAGCGGAGTCGATCTAGCCATGTCCGTCTGTCTGTCTGTTCGTCCGTCCGTCCGTCCGTCCGTCCGTATGTATGAACGCAAGGATCGCAGAACCTATAAGAGCTAGAGACTTGAAATTTTAGATGTAGGTGCTCCTAGTTCCCGCGCAGATCGAGTTTGTTTCCGATAATTGATAACTTACTCCGTTTCCAAGCAATCAATATAAATCGATATCATGTTTTTTGGGCAATTTCGGTAAATAATAAGAGCTAGAGTCACCAAACTTGACATATAGCTTCTAAAATAGAATATATATATGCATTTGATGTTGGAAGAAGAGGGTTCAGGGTATCCCCTAGTCGGGAGCTCCCGACTTGAGCCTCTTACTTGTTCTTTTTGTTATATACATGTCCACAAAAACTGTATACCCTTTTTACACAATGGCTTCAGGGTATAATTAGCTTGTTCTAAATTCCACATTTCAAAAAGTTTAACCCTGTTAGCCTTCACAAGCAGAAAGAAATTCATTGTACTTGCTGCCAATTAAACAAGTCACAGAATCTCTAAATGGGAGTGTCATGCTCGAGCCTGACCGTTGAATCGGCTTAATGGGCGCTGAAGAGGCGGAGATATTAGATAAAATTCTGTTTGTAGCTTTAATTCCTTTCTGCCTGCAGGCCAACAGATTATATGTAGATTATATGGACCAGTAGCCTCATCTGGATAAAGGTACTTAGCAACAACGAATAATTGTGACATTTGAGCCCATTTTGCTTTTCTTATGTAAGCCGCTGCTTAAATAGATATACCCAAATAGCAAATTAGGCAGTATACCGAATAAAGGGGCATATGTTATGACATTTAAAAATTCAATTATTCTGATCTTTGTTATTTAAATTGTTTTCACAAACTAGGTCACAGATTCTAGTGCATACTAAATATTTTACAGATCAAAGGAGTGCCCGACTAGAAGATTCCCTGAACCTCGCGCCGAGCTGTGCTTGCAAGCATTATAGCACACATGCACACACTTCCCGTAGCTCCAGATGGGATCAGAATATGGTGGTGGGGCATCAATATGGTGACTAAGTGTATGTAAGATTATTCCACAAAAATAGCTCTCTTTTCCATTTTTTGGAGAACGGGGGAGGAGCACACTTACCCACATCTTTAGCTGTAATAGGCTCCGACATCGACGCGTTCATACATATGGACAGACGGATAGACAAACAGACGGACAAGGCTAAATCGACTCGGCTTTTGATACTGACCAAGAGTATATATACTTTATGTGGTTCGAATAGTTCCTTGTGCCTGTTACATACATTAGAACAAAAGCATTATAGCATTTTTACCAATTTTCAATATGTTTAGAGATTTATAATAGTTTAATACATGCTTGATATTAAACGTTTGAAGATGGCCTAAATAACAATTCAAAGAAGTAAAAACAATAATTATGTTTGAGGAAATTAGCATATCATGGGCTAGTTAAGCAATCAAATAAAGACATGGGCCACTGATCAACTCAATGTATAAGTAATATTTATATTTATCAAGCAAAGGCTATAAACGATTGTAACGACAATGTAACGAATTGTGTATTGAAGCGAGGGCAGGTGGAGTATGGGCTGCGGCAGTGATACGCCCACACTCGACTAAGCGGAAAACAAACTTACTGGAGTTGTAACGACAATGAATTGATTGAATTGAATCGGAACGATATGAATGATATGTGATTATATTGGACGCCACAATTGATTTCTGTATAAAGTGAGCTGCTCTTCTGGGCGCTGTTTTAGTACAGCGACCAAACCATGCACAACATAAGGCAGCCTCAGGAGCGGTTGCTGTTAGCTTTGATGATCTGCGCCTGCGCTTGCAGCAGCACTAGTGCTCGGCCCAGTGAAGTGAAGCTGCAATCTCAGTACCTGCGTGCTATTACTGCCTATAGAAGGCTAGAGCGTAGCCTTCCTCCTCAGGAACTGCGTGCTTTGATTGGCTTGGGACTGCTAAATGGCGCTCGACAGACAAATGAGCGAATGGAGCAGCATCTGGTGCAAGCAGTCAAGGAGCTGATACAGACTGACAAGTGGCAAAGCGATAAAGTACTCCCCAAAATTGATGCGATCGAGCAGCAAATGGAGCGCGATCAGTATGCTCTCAATATTCTCAGCAGCGCCATGGATGTGTTGTGCAACGATAAGAATGAGCAAGAGTTTCGGCAAGAAGTTTACAATGTATTTAAGGAGCAGCAGCATTTTCTTGGGCAGCAGTCTGAAGCGCAGCCAGAAGTGGGTACGCGATTAGGACAGCTGCGGTGCCACATACTACAGCAGTTTTCGCAGACGAAGACTCATTTGGATGCCAAAATCGAGAGAACCCTGGACCATCTTGTAAGGCAAGCCTCAGTCGATGGGCCACTTGCCAAGGCTAGTCATAAGATTTTGCACAAGAGGGCAGCCAATGAAAAACAGACTCCAGAAACCCCGAAACAGGAGTCTGAGAAAACACCTGTGATCAAGTCTGATCTGCCAGAGGTTAGTAAACAGTTTCAGCAATTGATGAGAATTGTGTAGACTATGTTGAAGTTAACCTAATCCAATCCCAATCTATTGAAACGCAGGATGATTTTCGGGAAAATTTGGTGGTTGATCAATCTGAGAAAAGCGGTGAAAGTAGTAACCAAACTCATCCAAAAAACGAATTCGATAACCTGGATAATGTTGTGAGTTTTTAAATGTAAATAATTTTGTTATTTTGTGACTAACTGCTTAAGTTTTTATATTTGTTCGCAAAATGAAAAAAATATTTTTGTTTCATGCAATGCCCGCATGAACGGACCTGTGCTTAACCAGATCAGATAAAGCACTTAGATTATATACTATATACTACAATATAATCACGAAACCCCAAATCTCAACAATTTTAAAGCTAGACGTACCAAATTTAGAATGAAGACTGAGAGCTTAGCACGAAAACTGATGTATCTTAAAAAATTTTACGGTAGCATATTAAAAGCTGATATTGCACTGTGATATTGACGAGTATTACGCATATGCAACATTTTTTAGTAGCATAAAGTTGTTCTTACATCCGTCTTCTAAAGCCTTGCCCTTACAGTATATGTGTATTGTAAACATGCAAACGCACTTGAGTGCAATATATGATTGAGTATCTCAAATCTAGAAACTGTGTAGCTTATAGTCGAGCATAGCGTCATAAGTTTTTTTTTAATGGCCTTCAATTTATTCTATTCTGCTTTAGGCACTAAAACACTTAGAGTTACATATGAAAGCACACAAATGTATTATAATATAATTTATAATCAAGTAGCCAAGTCAGCTGGGGAATCCTTCTTAGTCTGATGCGCCGCTGCTATAAACGCATTTGAATGTAAAAGTAGTCGATTCTTGTACCGACTGGAGTACCGAATATTTTATCCCATTTTATTTAAGATATTTTGTATAACTAGCTTCTCGCATACCAAGGGTGGCTAGATATTGTTCTCGCTGCTCTTGATTCAAAGATTCTAATTGCAAGTCTGTCCGGTGCCTGTTCGACTTCTAGAAAGGCAGTATACTTTGTTTTCAAAAGCTTGTAGAATTCGTCTGATAGACTGTCGTGCTTACTTCTGAAGCTAAGTGGATGTATTAAACGCGCTCGAACTGATCCACGGCCATCAGTGCGCTCAGAAATATTCCTTCGAATATTTTAGCGGTTGACAATGGTAGGCTTATGGGATAGTAGGAATCCATTTACCTGTCTTATTTAATTTCCACTCGTGTTAAAGAATTGAATAATCCCTTATTAATGCGCCTCGGAAGTCGCAAACTATTACAGTAAAGCCCATAGCGACAAGCAATGCGAATCAGGAAGATGACAGTTCTTCGGAGCTCGGAGGCGATGATGGCGGAACTAATGCCGGCGGCGGCGGCGGGGGCCTGGTTGGCATCATCGGAAGCTTAAGTGGTGTGAGTAAAAAAAAAAAAGATAGCCGAATATTACTAACTATTGTCAACTGCAGGGCGAGGGCGGCTCGGATGTTGGCGCATTGATCGGCGCACTCACAGGCGTTATTTCGACGTTGTTTGGCGTAAGCTTTGAGCAACTATAGTGATGAAAGCGAAGCACATACATATTTTTATGAAATTTTTTCTACATTGGACAGCCGGGTGGCCTAGATATTGAGGCGTTGATTAGTACAGCTACATCGCTCTTGTCAGGCCTGCTCTCGGGCAATAAGAACTTTGGTGTTGTGTTGGGTCAATATGTAGGTACAGCTCTTGATGGACTGTCCGGCGGTGGCGGAGCGGTAGGTCTGAGACATCCAGTCCATCGACTGCGCAGTACTCAGTGTGTCTTATTTTTTGTTTTTTCAGATTAACAATGGACAGTTTTTGGGCAATTTTGTTGGAACCGTGTTAGCCTCATTGAGCGCAGTACTTATGCTTTTTAATTATTAATTCTTTTTGGCCGATTTTTTTATGTTTTATGAATGTTCTACTAACCTTTGTGCAAATGCCAATTTACTGACTAGCATTAGCTACAACTGCGTTTCGGTTATCTTTACAGGATCCGGAGGATGAAGGCCCCCCACAACCATTTACTTTTACCAAAAACTTTCTGAGTAGTTTTCTTGAATCGAAGTTCCGACCCGCGGAAGCGCCAGAGGAGCGTCATGGAAGCGGCGAGTTGCCGCGCCAAAAGAAAAAGGAATCTCTAAGCGCTGGATTTAACTCCGAGGGATTTGTTCAGCAAATCGCTTCGCATTTAGTAAGCAGCGTACTAGGGCTGTTGCTGAATGCATCGCTGGGTGCCTCCGGTGGTGCTTCACATGCTTCCACTGGAGTATTTTCAAGCAGCAGCCATCACACGAAGACGTAAGCAGATCCTGGACGGAAATGTAGTGACACTACAAGTGATTGTATCTTCCTTTTACGCACTTTAAATGTCTTTTTTTTTATTAGTTTATAAGAAATAAACAGCTAGTTCGGAGGGTATTTATGCAAGTTTTCGTAACATTTTTGATAAGATTGCAAGCCGGCGATCCAGCCTAACAAAAGGTAATAGGCAAACAATTCCATCGCTTCTTGAGCGGTTGAGAAAGCGTAAAGCACAGCTTTGAGCAGAAGAAAGAAACATTTTTAGCCTGGCTTGGCTTGGCAGAGTCGTACCTGGTATGGGATGTGCGTAAGCCGAGACGATTTGAAGTTGGACAGTTGGCCAGTTGAGTGGGTTGTGGATGACGTAAGAACATACCAGCTTGGGTATATTTTAACTATCTCACTAACGTTAATAAAAAGTATAAAGTGTGTTACGCTCAAGTGAAATTCACTTATAAAGTCACTGATGAAAGTGCTCTAAGTTAATAAAAATAGTTAAAGCCATAACCAAAATCAGAAGGGTCTGTTCAAAGTTAAACTGAATTCATAGTTCAGCGATATAAGATTCAAAGTTCCCTTGTAGATAAACTTTATGAGATAAGGAGATAAGTTTTGTGATTCCATGACTTTTTTGCTCTTAATTTGAATGTTGTCCAATTAATTGTTAAGAATTCTAGATTAAATTACCCTAATTAAGCAGATATAGCGCGACATTATTAAGTATGTGACCAAAAACTAAGTGTGTTTGACCTTTGCTTATATTTAAGCAAGTACGGACTCACCACTCCACTTTGGGGTAGGTGAGGAGCTACGAGTTTGTCAGTGCCCTTAAAACTAATTAATTATCATATCTTCATGCCAGACTCAAATCTGAAACTAGTATCGTAGTCAATATTCATTCAAAGCTAACATATAACACACAGCGCCACATTAAGAAGCATACAATTCTTTGAATTGTCAATATAAAAATCAGAATTTCCCATGTCCGTGCACCTCAATCCTGTGTCCACAGCCAATGTCTATACAAAGTAACAGGAAATTCTTTGCGAATTTTATTTTTGGATCCAGACTACAACCGATCAAAGTTTGTTTAAGCAACATGAAAAACAGCGTAGCCATATAATGGCGTCATGAGCCTCTTTGGCTGAGGTGCCTGAGTTGTCATACTAACGCATATAAAGGAGAAATTGTCAAGAATTTAGTTAATCTGTTATTACTAACAAAAAATAGGCAAACATAATCAATTAAAAAAGAATGAAACAAAATGGAAAATTATTTGTTGGTAAAAATAATAATTAAAATAATATATTGTGATTGCTTTGTCAACTGCAATGCTGTGTTATATATTATTTGGCAGGCCCCAATTATTTGTTTTCCTAGCGTGGTTTGCTTAGCACGTGGCTACGGGTGTAAGCCCCGAGAAGACGCGGGATAAAATATTCCCTCTTAGAGACAATTTATAGGAAAGAAATGCACAATGCACATTTTACCAGCCCAACCAAATCGCTTACGAACACAGAGGCGACGGCAAATGCTACTAATAAAATAAAACAAAACCAATTTAAGGAACCCATCACACCAGATTTGCTATTTCCGAATCCGAATCCCCACGGGCACTCTTAATTTGAACATGGTCGGCTCAGTATAAGATTGGCTATTAAATATTTAATAAGTAAATAAAAAAATGAAAAAAAGACAAATGCTTCAGCTAAAACTTTTCAAATTAGAGGTAGACCGAGTGCTTTGCACCACTTCATTGGCTAAATAATAATGCCAGTCTATAGCGATATTCGATTGTAAACATCATCGTTAACGTTTTGTACGCTTTGGCTTAATTGTCGTTTGTTTTCTTTCATTCGTTTTCCATTCGATACGCAATTTCTTTGACTACTCAACTACTCTAGCCAACGAAGCGCATATTTTGTCACTTTCTCATTGCATGCCACATGGGCAGGGAGTATGTTGGAGGGGTACTTTATATATATAAACATACTTTTTACTCACTACTGTATGCCTCAAACATATTTCTCTTTGAATTGTCTGCGAGTTGCGCATTGCGATCGAAGCGGTTTCAGTTACGCGTGAATCTTTCACAAGATCAAGTGTCATTTCGGACGGCTGGGTGTGTTTATTTGTTAATTTCAAAAGTGCAAGCGAAAAATTAATTTTACCCTTAATATCAGAAACAAAATTAAAGTGCAATATTTTCAGTAAATTTAATACCCAGTAAGCTTCCCAAATAATTTTTTGTTTTCTTTTTTCACGTGGTTTGCTTTACTAAGCTCTACAGCGGGGAGAGTTCAATAATGTTTGTGTATACGTGTTCTTTTGTCAAACAAAGATTGAAGCAGAAAGGGTACACTTACGTGCATTTGATTGCGAAAATTGTATTCACTTTTAAATAACCGATAAGAGCTGTTCGAAAAGACTATTATGTTAACTGTCTGTAAAATCTAGTCATTTATATATATGTCAAATTTAGAGACGTTAGCCCAAAAACTGTGAAAGATTTCGATTTTTGAGTTTGCTCTTGGGCTGACGCACAGTAGGCTGACGCACAGTAGATTGGAAAATGCACACACTTATATATATTCTGCTCACTTTAATGTATAAAATTAAGGTGAATTTAAAAGAAACATAAAAGTCTCCAGTATGCACATGTGACAAATCAAAAGACTTAGGCAACGAACTTGCTAACGAGCAGAGCTGTGGTAATGGATCAGGCTCAACGAAGATTGGATTGGTGGCAAGCGCAATATCACTAACAAAAACAACACCTTACAAAACAAATAACGCTTTCATCGCATTGCAACACGCAACGAATATTCAAATTAATTTTAGTACATACATACATATACCTTTATTAAAGAAACAACAAAATGTATATTAGAGAATATGCGTGAATGCGGCTGACAGCTCTGATTAGCATACATTTATTAATAAATCAGACACCTGTTGAAACACCAAAATTAAAATCCAGTTGAACCATGCCAACAAGCGATGCAAACAAACGGGCAATACTTTCATTTACGTGCGTTTAACATATATTGAATAAAGTGTATTAGCTCTTGCACATAAACTAATGTGCAACGGGATTTTAGTCAATGTCTTAAATTTCTAATAAAAACCTTAAATTTATATATATATAAATTTATATAAACTCTATGTATAAAACTGACGCACTGACCAAGCACTAACCGTAAAAGCTAGATAGTTTACATTTTTAATGTGATGAAGATGCGAGCAAGTGTGGAAAAATCCCAAAAATTTGTTTATTACCATTCGATCGGTTAGAATTCACTTGATAAAAAAGGCGGAACAAATGTTATGTTTCAAAATAAGAGAAAAACTAATTTAAAATCCCAATAGGACTTTAAACTTTTTACGACACAAATTAAGAGTTATTGAATTCGTGTTTTAGTGGCTGTGGAAACTCAACCGGCAACTGTGGACCGAAAACTTTGATTCCAACGTTTAGTCCTTCATTGGATTGACTTAAGGTAGATTTAGAATTCCCATGGGTAGGAATATAAGGTAAAGAAATATGAAAGTACGAAGTTGAAATTCTTACTGAAACTGTAGGATCAAAAGCGATTCGTCATATGAATTCATTGCACGACCCCAACTATTCGCCTAAGAAGCGCAGAGGTATGCACATTAAGTAGTAAGTATAGTATCCTATCTTCGTGATTTCAAAATATTTTTAGACGCATGGGGGGACGTTAGCCTGAAGTTGATGCCTCTTTTAACCCAGGTGATGCTGGGTAAATATAATATAGTGTCATACAAGAAGTAAGAATATGGCAGCCGAATCCAACCGTCAAATTTAAGTGCATGCCTACTGCGGGCGAAGCTATTTAACACTTTAACACTACAATTTAGTAAATATATGTTCTTAGGGTCAAGTCTAATCATAATCAACAATAGCAATAGGGACATTGGTTGAGATCATTATCCTTTTTTTTTTTTTTTGGGAAAAGTATATCCAAAATTACACACATATTGAATGTAGCTTAAATTTGTTTGGTTAACAAATGACAGGAAATCAAGAAGAAATATCTCAAATTACTGACTGTCAATTTATCTGACTTTTATTTTCGAAAAATTCGGAAAGTAACTGCAGCGTTTTAGCATTTTCCTGAACTCATCTTCAAAATTCTTTTCAAACAGATTAATGTGGCCCTGTGGCCAAAAATAAACACCACTGTGTTCAAATTGAGGCTCAAGGTGGTACGGAAAAACTGATGTTCAAAATTTGGAGCGAGTAAATCCGGGTGATTCGCGCTGGTTTAATATATATAGATCACAAAATATTCATGTATGGTGTATATGTTATAAGTAACTAATTAAATAAAAATTCAAAACCATTTCAGATGCGAATGTCGTGATCTTACTATAGTTAACCAATGTTATAGCGTACAGGTGAAGATGAGCACGAAAAAGTCGAAGCCGCAAAAGATAGTCACAGCTTGCGCGCATACACACACGCACACACATACTGTCAGATATACTGGCATACATAATTGTGCAGGCCCATAATCAGTGTTAAAGCCAGACGGTTTTTGTTGGCGCAAAGAAACCGGTAACAGTCTCAAGGTCGTTGAGAAACTGTGCGTTTGGCTCGCTCATCGGGTTGACTTGGCTCGATTACGATGCCTTAAATCAAGATAAACCTCACCAGCAGCAGAAGCGTCGACACAGTTTGAACAATAACAAAGCCTCATGTTATGGCGATTAGTATTCACAGGCACACACACTTTAGCTATTCATATATGTTCATATATAAAAAGCGAAAGTAAACGCCATGAAAGTAGAGCACAATCTGCCCGCGTTCAAGGTAAACTAGCGAGGGGGCGTTGCTATACAGGTATACCAGGTTATCTGTCATATTTGTTGTTTGGCTGCGTGTGCCTGTGTGGATGTGCATCTGCATAAGTCGGTCAATAAGTTTATTGACCGTTTTAACAGATTTGATGGCTTTATTTTCGTAATGAAAACTCC